TTCCTAGAAAAGCAATTCAAGGCATGTGTCATCTATGATGGCCAGTTGCATCTTGCTGTATTTATTTGCATGTGGCTTCATAACAGAAATTATACATCAGCATTATAGAAAGTTTGGAAAACATTATTTTTTAATTTCATAATCCCACTTACCAACACACATTTATCTGGTGCTCTCATTTTTGGCTTACATAGTGATGGCCACAAAATGTACATATCCTTCTGAATCCACCATTTTTGTCCTAACATTAAGATCGTATTTTCTCATGTTCTTAGAGTCCTCATGGTTATTTTAGAGGCTGTTTAGTAATCCATCAAGTGAATGAACTATTATGAATCATGCCTGCATTTGGGGATTTTAAGGTGTTCCAATTTTAGCCGCTGTAAGTGATGGCAGTATCTTTTAAAATGGAGAATTCATTGGTGCCCTTCTGTTGTTTATAAACCTGTGTATAGCAAGGTGCTCAGGAAATGTTGGCTGCTGGTTTTTAGTCTCCCAAAGGTCTCAGTACTGCCAAAGCCACTCCCCTATCAACGCTGAGAGGTGATTTGTGTCCTCCCTGCTCCCCTGTCTTCATGGACAAAGAGCAATTAGGATATTTGTGGCCATAGTCTCTAGGGGTCCTACCATCTCCAAGGTCTGTCGTTCACTGGAGCACGACCCATAGTGATGAGGTCAGAGACTAATACAAAATCTGTGAGCAACTGCTCCCAGTGCCAAAATGAGGCAGACTTCAGGCAGAAGAACTGTAGCTAAACCCCACCTCTGCCACCCCATCTGGAAGGGTTGGGAGAGAAGTTAAAAAGAATCAGCTCCCTGGGGACAAGACCAGCTGTGCACAGGGAAATTGCCCCTCAAAAGCAGCCTGCATGTTGCAATGCTTTAAGACTGTATTGCTAGCAAGGAGATAGCAATGAGAGCAATGAAAAATACTCTAAGTTTTCAAGGTATGGTGCCTAGAGCTCAAGGCGTAGGAGCCAAGTGAAAGCCACTCAACAACTGTCTCCAAACAAGGAGGTACAAAATATTCCAGCCAACTGTCAAGACACTGGGTGACTGCTGAAGGAACCAAAGAACCTCAAAAAGCAAACCAATTCCCTATAAAAGAACAATGAGCATGAGCCATTTAGTGAAGGGGCCACCAATTCCAACTCCCCACTCCTCCGCCCAGCTGTAATGAGACCATTCCAGCAATATCACTCCCAGTTGAAATCATATATGCTCTTGATAAGGTCCCTGAGTCATCAAGAAATTGTCAAATTATGTGCCATTTTTCTAGTGAGAAAGCAAGGAAGTATGAAAAAGATCTTTCCAAAGTTTACAAGTTTCCTCCAGCAGTATGCGAAGGGAGAGGGTGCCATTAACTTGGGAACATCCATATTTGTTCTCTGAAGTGACTGAATAGAAAGGGGGGGCCTCACTGGTTATATGGGTTGACAAAAGTGGTCCCTTTTGCTCTTGTTTACTCAGCAATCTTCTGAAAATTGACATATCAAATTACTCAGGTATATGTCCCATTACAAATTATTATATTGGCATCCTGAATTATTAATCATTTTCCACTGAGTGTGGTCAAAATCACTTCCCCAAAACCGTACCACTCTACCTCTTCAGTACCACTAGGACCTTGATAGTTAACCAAAACATGCTCCTAAGACCCATCTCTCTTCTGAGAATAGATTCTTATTTCTAGCCGTATATTAGACAAGTTTCTCTAAGTGTTTTGTCTTTTCATCCAATTTAAACCTGTTTGAAACTAAGTATCTGTTATTGCACCTATATTTGCACAAACATCTCCTCCATCTCCATGCCCTGCGTCTGTCAATGGCATCACCATCCTTCCTGACACTCAAAGTAGAAATTCAACTCCTCCTTCCCTCTCACACTCCAAATTCAGGCTCTGATCTCCAAATATGTCTTCCCACCTTTATTCTTTGTCCCTCTAGCTCATCCTCCATATGGTGGCTGCGAGAAGTATCATTTATAAATATATTAATTTATCCATTCAACAAATATTTGCTGAGTGCTCCTTCAAGCACTGTGCCAGGCATGACATTCTAATCAGAGAAAAACAACTGAGAAGGTTCTGATCGTGTCACACTTCTGTTCAAAAATTATTTACTACCTATTTCCAAGAATGCCCTTTCCTTAAAATCTAGTCCCAGAAAAGCCTCCCGATCTGGGCTCTGATCACTACGACTCACCTCTGCACACACGCACAGACACGTGTGCACTCAACTCCCCACTGTTCCCTCACACTGGCCAAGCCCTGAGCATGTACCACTGCCTTTGTCCTGAGTCCTCTTCTCACTTCCCACTTCTAAGGGGCTGCATGTCCCCCAAAACCCAAAGCATAGCTCAACCACTCAGAGAAACATTTCCTAACCCTCCCAGGGGAGAAAATCTGTCCTTCCCCTGTGCTCTTGGAGGAAGGCAAACATAACCCTATTATAAGTAGCATTTACAACATTGCGTGAAGAAAATTGTCAGGGATCAAAAGGTGTAGGATTTATCTGAAGCCTTAAGTAAACTGATAAAATTGTGTTCAAAATCTGAAAAGCTGAGGATAAGAAGCAGAAATTTGGAGACACCCCCACCCCTCTACATCCCTGGGACTTTTCTGCAACAAATGCTTTGTTGGATCATCACCATAGGATGTGCCCTCTCTTCTCTCAGGGGAGGGTGGTTTTTTCCCTGAGGACCCACAGTTTCTGGACCTGGAGGTGGGTGTTCATCTTCCTTACTCCCCACTGCCATTCTCAAACCATTTTCCTCCCTTCTTCTTTGAAGCTCATCCTATCAGGCCATACCACCCCTTTCCCACCTGGTTGTTGTCAGTCTCTGCCCCTCAGCCACTGACAACTTCAGCTTCTGGTACACTGGCTTCCTTTGTACCAACATCACCCCATTATCAATAGTGGTTTCTTCATCATCTCACGAGTGATGCATGCATACTGCCTTCCCTCCCACTACAATGGATAAAGTACCCACATTCTTATCAAAAAACACCTCTCCACTGCATCCCAGGCTCCTCCCCCTCTTATCTTCCAAAAATGCAGTGGTCATGGGTAATAGTTGACCACCCTCGTGTCCTTGAAACATCTTCCTACTTGGCTTCCATAACATCATACAGACCTGTTTTCCTCCCATTTCACTTGTCACCCTCCTTTTCAGATTCCACTGATGGTTTCTGGGCTCCTTTCTTTTTTTCTATCTCCACATGTCCCCAGGATGACATCAGTGAGTTCTGTGGCCTTGAAGCTCATCTATTTGCCAAATCTTAGCACTAACTTGACCCTGTCCCCAAAGACCAAACGTATAAATCCAACTGCCATCTCTACATTGTCATTTGTATGTCTAATAGGACCTCAAACTTGTCATGGCTCAAACACAACTCTCCACCCTACTCCCTAAAATGTTCCTCTCCAGTCTTTCCCATCTCAGAGAGAGGCACCATCGTTCACCAAATCACCCGATTCAAAAATGTCAAGGTCGTCTTTGATTCCTCTTGCTTCTTCACTTAGTACATACAGTTCATTATCTTCTCCCCACTCACACTCTATTATTATGTAACTCTTCATCTCCACCCTAGTTCAAGACATCAATATCTATTCACTGGACCACTGGACACCTGCTCACTGGTCTCCCTGCTTCCACTCTTATGCCCTTACAATTCCTTCCCCACAGAAGACCCAGAGTGATCATTTTTAAATATAAGTCAGATTAAGTCATTCCACTTCCAATACCCCAATATGCAATGCAAATTCCTGACCTTGGCCTACAAAGCTCTCCTTGATCTAGCCCCCACCTACCCTTCTGGCCTTAGCCAGTTTCACTCCCCCACCACTCACTGCAAGGCCACACTGGCCTTCCTCCTCTTCTCAAGCCCACCAAGTTTGTTCCCATGTTAGCATCCTTCTGCAGCCTCTGCCTGGGATGCACTTTTGCCTGATCTCCACATGGGTTGTTCCTTCTTACAAGTCAGGATCCAGCCTAAATGTGAATTCTTCGGGAGGCCTTCCATGACAAGCTAGAGTAGCCACCAATCTCTACCAAATCTCCTATTTCAATTCTGTGCATGGCACCATCCCTGACTGATATATATCCTATGATTTATTCATCTGTTAATTTTCTCATAACCAACTAGGAGGTAGGCTCCATAAGAGCAGGGATCCCATTCATCACAAACTCTGTCCCCAGGCACTTGGAAGAAAATCATTAGATAAATGAATTCTCCTGCAATTGCCACAACAATCATCCCTGGAATTTCTAAAAATTTTTGGAAATCCAAACATCAGGCAGCTACATGCCTGTGCAGGGGGCACAAAAGGAACCATGGACTAAATGACCTGACAATAGCTACTATGAAAGAAGGTCGATTGGAAAGGTGAGACATCACCCTAATAAATATGACAAACAGATAATGGCTCGTGAGAAGAGCTGGGTTCATGTCCTAACAACAACACTTACTGCTTCCAAGTGGGCAATCACTTCCCCTCTCTCTGAGCCTTAGGTTTGCCCCATCTATAAAACGGAAATGATACACCTCTCCTGTAGGACTCTGGTAAAGATTAAATGAGACACCTCGTGTGAAGTGCCCAGAAGGAGCAATGCTCGGAACCACAACCATCCAGGATTCAGGCTTCATGAAGAAGCTAAGTGATTATTTATGATTATAAATTAAATGCATGCTCCCCCCAACGCCCCTCCCCACCCCACTGGTCTCCTTATCTCTCCTCCCAGGACTGGTCCAGTGACACTTCCCTTGGGAGCCCATTCAGCCATGCAGGTGGGCTTACACGTGCACCCCCTTGTACCTCAACTCTCAGGGCCGTTTGTCCCACTGTCTGTTACTTAGTTGGTATACATCGCTCTCCCTTCCTACACTGTGTTTCTTAAAGCTCAGAAGTAAGATCTTTAATTTCCAGTCAACTCCCAGCCCACATGTTGTCTACTTTGAAGACTAACTATGATCATGATCTAAGGCCAGACTTGCTTACCTTTTTCTGATCTCTTCTTGTCCTCCCTTCTCCCATCTGGAAGCTCTTGCAAGTCTCTGGTGCAGTTCATTTAACTAGGTTTCTGGAAAAATAGAATGAGAAAGGTAAATTTGTAAAACACAATATATTGTAACTAATATGGATAGTTTTGGGGGAAGTGGACAGTGGAATGTATAGAAAACTGTTACCTACAGTTAAAAGAGAAGATAACAATTGCCAATCCCCCCTGAGGTCAAGGAGGGAGGGAGTCTCTTGAAATTGGGGAGAAATATTTAGTTACTAGTCTCAAATGAATCTTTCTAGGCACAAATATACACAAGTAGTATACAACGAAACATCACTGCTATCCACATCGAAAATATGTGTGGGTAACATGCCAGGAAATTTTGAAGTTCTGACAAAAGGAGTTTTTATTGAGTCAGAAACCCAATTAAACAACGAGGGCTGTAATGTGTCTCCTTGGCATGGAGGAGGGATGCACTGAATGCTTTTAAGATCCGGGAACAGGCCCCTCATGGAGTGTGTTGTGTGGACATCCTCTGCCCAACAAAGGTCTGGCCTTTGAGATGCACCCTCGTGGAGCACCACAGCACCAGCTCTCTCCTTGCTGTCATTGTTGTGTTTCTGGGGTACCATTGTGTATTTCAACATCTCAAGAGGGCAAACCAATAAGAGAATTAGCCAAAGTTCCTAAAAAGGCAAAGCTGCCTAGTAAACAATTGTTTGCAGCAAAGTATGGCATAGAATGAAGAGCATGAGCTCGGGACAGTCCAGCAGATTCTTAGCTGTGTGACCAGAAATAAGATACTTCAACTTCCTAATCTCTGTGTTCTCATCTATAAAAGAGGCGCAGTAACAGGAACTATGCTTGGATGGCCATGAGAATTTTTGTCATAATTCATAAAAAACATTGGGCACAGGCCTAGGCCCATGGTAAGAGCTCATTGGTTAGATTGTGGTCATCATCATGAATGCAGGACTGTGATATTGTCCACAATTCCAAAACAATGTGGTCCAGGTTTCAGGCTGGAGAAATTAACCAAATGTGTCTCCTCAAAAATGGACAATAAATTGAAGAACAGGGAAGAGATTGGAGCAGTGAGAGGTCAGAGGATGGGCCTCCAACAGAACCACTGCCATACTGCTGTCCCCACATCTCACCCATCCCACCCCACTTTTCAAGTCTCAACAGCCCTGTTATACCATCTGCTCGTCAAAATGACACCCACTGGAGATCATCCCTGAGCCCAGGCAGGTCTGAGACATTTGTGTCCACCTGCAGACATACATGTGTTCACATGCACTCATACACACACATAGCCCTGAGTAGAATATCTGTACAGTCCTTAGGATGAGAAAGAGTCTATGAGCTGCACACACACATGTATACACATGCATACTCAAACACTGTGTAACTCTCCAAAGTCACCAGCCATGCCTACCATGCAAACTTCAGTTTTGATATACCCTGTCCCAGCTGGGTTCTATTTCTCTTCTCAGGTCACTGCAGCCCTGGTCTAGAATGACTTAATGAGCAAACTGGGCCAAGAAGTCTCACCAGATTCCCAGTAGGAATAATCTGGAGACTCAGATATGCAAACAACTTTAAAAGGGACTTGGGGTGGAGCACAGAATTGCAGTTGGGAGAACTGGTTTTAAAATCCAGCTTCATTTCTTTATGTCCAATCTTGAGCAAGTTACTTAATCTTTCTGAACCTCGGTTTTCTCGCATCCAGAATGAGAAACATCCTGCCTCGTGGATTTTTAGAATGATCCAATTAATTCAGTCAAAAGCATTTCACGACCCATAAAGATCTTTCTAAGTCTGCTTTTGTGTTGAAGACAATGAATCCTGAACTAATGGTATAAATTTCATTCTCTGGTTTATGACCAGGGCTCGTTTTGGTAACGAGAATACTGAATAACATTGGCACCCAAGGTGAGCACTAAGTGAACTCTAGAGAAAGCATCTGTGTTGGGGAGCTCTATTCATAAGTGACAAAGACCACAGAGAGAGGGCTGTCTTGGACTCATCTGCTTTCCTTGGGGTGAAGGTGGGATGGGATGGGAGAGTGGAGTTTAAGTGTATCTAGTTTAGAAGTTTAGAATCATTTGCCCCTGAGAAGTCCTCAGAAGGCTACACCAGTGAAGGTACCCACCTCCCAGGAGGAGTAAGAATGGACACAAAGCTCTGTTCCCTCTGCCCCTCACAGCCACTGGCTTATCAGAACTACTGGGGTGGCAGGGTCCACAGGCTCAACAGACTCAACAGCCACTGGGCCCAAAGGCCTGTGGTAGGCAGCGTCCAAGATGGCCCCCAATAACTCTCTCCTGGTGTTCACATCCTTAGGAAACTCCCTCTCCTTGAGTATGAGCTGCATCTAGCGACCCACTTCCAACAAATAGAATATGGAAGAATGGTGGAATGTCACTTCTGAGGTTAATTTACAAAAAAGTATGGCGTCTATCTTGAATATGCTCTCTCTTGCGCTCTCTCTTATTCATTCTGAGGGAAGCCAGCTGCCATATTATGAGCTTCCCTATGGAGAAGCCTCGTGGCCAACAGCCAATAACCATGTGAGTGAGACTGGAAGCAGTTCCTCCCCCAGTTAAGCCTTCATATGGGACCACAACCCCAGCCAAAGCCATGACTGCACCCTCATGGAGAGACCTTGACACAGATGCACACAGTTAGTTACTTCACACTCGGATTCTTGACCGACAGCAACTGCAAGATAATAGACGTTTGTTGCAACTGAGTCTCGGGTAATTTGTTACACAGCAAGAGGTAACTGATACCAGACGAAGCCCCTGAGACTAAGATGGAAGAGAGCTTCCTACCTTACCAGCCAGTGAGGGTGATCTTCTCTGCATCATCCCACTCCCATCTCTAGGGGACCATGCAATTTCTACTGGAAGAAGGGAATTTATCTAAGTGCAGAATTATAGCTATAAAATACCACAGAAATAAAGCCATCCTGTAAAAGCCAATTTTGATAAGGCCATTTATGACACAGCAGATATAATGATGTGGCCAGAGAGTCAGGGATGGAGCAAGGTGCAAAGTGGGGCTCAGAGACTGTGCTAGAGCACTTGCCTTGCATAGTACTTGAGAGATATAGGAAGCTGAAATTTTAGAGATTTCTTTTTAAGACCAGGTAAAAAGGTCCTTGGCATAAAAATGGCTTTGTGAAAGCAACCAGATCAAAATGTCAGGTTCTATCATGGAATGATTTTATCCAACCCCACCACATACTCTTTGGGCTTCTCCTCAGTCCTGAAGACAGGAGGATTGCCACCAATCTTTCTTTCCTGCTTGTGCATGCACAGGCATACACATACATAAAAGGGATTCAGGAGCAGGTTTCCTGGGTCCAGAAGCACAAGGTCTAAAATGATGTGAGTTTCAAGGCCACCATCTGCCCCACGCCCTACTTGGATTTGGGCTGTTCAAATTCAACAGACTGAAAGGCACCTGCCCAGAGGCTGGAGCTTCACCAAGAACTCTACAGAGAGCAAGTCCTTGTGGGGTTCCATGAGAGTTCCCCCTGCTTTGCTCATCAGCTCAGAACACAAGAATGAAGACACTGTTTACTGTGGCTGGTGGAAATGAACAGTACCTTTATATTAGAATGGATTCCGTTAGTTTCCTGAAGTGTTCTGTCTTTAAAACCATTGACTTGGGGAGCCTGGGTGGCTCAGTTGGTTGAGCCACAGCCTTCCGCTCAGGTCATGATCCCAAGATCCTGGGATCGAGCCCCGCGTCGGGCTCCCTGCTCCGCGGGAAGCCTGCTTCTCCCTCTCCCACTCCCCCTGCTTGTGTCCCCTCTCTCTCTGTCTCTCTCTCTCTCTGTCAATTAAATAAATAAATAAAATCTTTAAAAAAAAAACCATTGACTTATCAACACTTAATGAAGAATGTCTCCCATGACCACGTGGTTGTGTGGTTCTGAGAGATCCATTCAGCTCTGTTGGGGACAGTTCCTTCCAGTCCGGTTTTCTAGCCCTCATGTCTCTAGGCCTCTCTGTGCCTCAGTTTCCCCCTGTGTAAAATTAAGGATTTGGGCCTCCCGTCTCCCATCCAGCTCTGCCCTCCTGGGTATCTCTGAAACCTCATACCGCAGGACCCAGAAACTGGAATGTACTCTGGTTTCCCAATATCCCACCAAATGAAGTCCTTATGAGCACAACTTCTGGGTTTATACTAACAGAGAAAACACTGCAAGCCCTGACCTTCAAAACTCAGCTTGTTCTCACTCCCTGCTGTGTTTCGAAAAAGAAAGGCTAACTTTTGCCCTCTAGGGTGGGAAACGCGAAAGGCACAAGCCCAGGGCTCAGAGTTGGGACCACAACAAAGCCCTCCAGGGGCAGAGCCCACAGAGCTGGCGCTGACAGTCTTTCCATCCACCGAGTGGAAATTCTAGATGCAGAAGGTGCCCAGACGGACCCTGATTTTCCTCCCCTGCCAACTGCCGTAAACCTGTTTCTGTCCCGTTGGAGTTGCAACATGGAGCCAGAAATCTGGAAGAATTTAACACCCAGTCAGTTCAGACACAGGAAAACATTGTTCAAAGCAAACACTGGAATCCCTCCCTCATCATCCAGGAATGTAGAGCCAGCAGGGTTGAGATCAGCAGCTTCTCAGAAAAGCCATCGCTCTGCTGCTCTGCTTGGGGCTGTGGCCCAGGAGGGCCAGGAGAGGCTCCAGAGCTGTTTTCTGACTGAGACACGGTCAAGGCTGGGAGGTCAGCACGCGGGGCCTCTCCCCTCCTGGGCAAACATGGGCAGTGCTGCCCGTAGCCTCTAGCTACAGAACTCGCAGCTTCCCTGCCGGACCCAGCCTGCATGCAAAGCCCTGTCCTGTCCCTGAACTTGGGAGAGGCTCAGGAGGCAAAGTGCCCTTGGAAACTGAGAGGGCCTCGGGATGCTCCGGGATTTTCCATTTCCTTTGCCTGTGGCGGGCTGTGAAAGGGGCACTTTTCCTCGAGGAAGAAAGAAAGCTCTGTGTGCCCAGCAAGGGTGCAGCGCCTCTAACCAGAAGACGTGTGCGCTCCATGGGACGTGGCCACCAGTGTTCGCCCC